TTGTGAGCTCTGGCAAGGGTATTTTGTCTTGTAAATGGAATGCTTTTTTATATAAATTTCCTATTTTTTTAGCCTTTTATTGCTGTTAGTAGAGAGGTTTGTGCACTGGTCAGTACAATCTCTTTCCATAGTACCCACTGTTTTTGGCAAGGATGACGGGGAGACGTGTTTTCCGCTTTTAGAATGTCATTAAATATTAATATAAAATCTAAGTAGACCATATGTATTTTAGTCAGCTACTGACTTGCGTGAATTTCTTCTGCTGTTAGTGTTTGGATGTACAGGAAAGAATGGTGGTGTTCTGTGGTTGCTTACCAGTTAAGTAGTTATCAAGTTCCATTATAGTAGCCCAGACATCACATCCTGTTTCTTTCTTTGTGGTATTTGAGCTAGGGATTTTTTCTTTCTATATATATTCATTAATTTTTTAATTATTTTTTAAAGTAACTGTTTACTAACTCTTCCTGATACAAGTCTGTAAGGACTTACCTATGTTAAAAACATTCTAAATATATTCTGAAAACACTCGACTGATGCCATCAGCTATATTGAAAGCCCAAATTAGCTCTTCCAGTACAGTGGCATAGAAATTAGTCAAGATTAAAGGCCACCTTCAATATTTTTTTGGCCTGCTGTGTTTGAGTATATCAATTCTTGTTGCCAGTGTCATGCAAGTAGGTGGTGTGGCTGCATCATGCCCAATTGCCTTTTACATACAAGAGCTATATCCTGACAAACACATCTAGCCAAGTAAGTTTGGTACCTTTTCACAGCTGGGTTACAAGGGAAGCATTTGTTCCAAGTCTAGAATGTGGCTCACATGTCTTTGGACCCGCGATGAGACGCAGTATCCACTTTACCACGGTGCTTTGTGCAGAAGCTGACAGGTGAGAAATTTTTACAAGTGTTCTGCAGCGTATGGTGAAGGCATAAGGATAAAGACTAGTCTTTTTTAACAGTGAGTTCACTGGAGCCTCCCTTTTCTCTTTCGTACATGTTGTTTGTTCTAGCAGGGTCCTATATCTATTGCTGTGACTAGCACACAGGGACATATAGGAAACAAATTAACAAGTAATGACATTCCAAAAATAGAGCACACACATTATTTATCAGAGGAATAGGAGACGCACTCTGAGTGTGTTCCACCTCTGACCATCCTTTAACTGAAAGTGTCCTGTCATTTTAATATATGCAAAGTGAACAAGGCTCAAGTTAATTGTCATGTCTGAAAAATAGCCCAGGATTGCATAGTGCTTACTAAACACTGCAGGGGAATTGGTAAATGAAACTTGACAAGGCCTGAAAAATTATAGTCTCCCTAAAACAGGACATATAATATAAAAAAGATGTGTGCTGAGTTAAGATTATTTAACATGTTGCAACAAGGTGTGCTTCACTGGCTACCAGATTATAGATGGCATCTTTTTTTTTTTTTTTTTAAACTGACAGCCCAGATCCTGTGAAGTCTTTGTCTGAGTCAGTTATTTATTATCTAGTAAATGACCTTTTTGGCTGAAGGGGTGGGGAAAAGAAGAGAGTGGAGAATGATCAAATGCCTATGTTTTGGAATAGTATTTTATTAGTTATTTTACTAATGGAAGTGCTAGATTACGATAATGATATGTCAATACAATTAATAATATAATTTGCTGTTTGCTTCATAATGTAAGTATAGCTGCTTTAATCTTAACAGATAAGACTTTTTAGTACAAAATAGTTACAGTACATCAAAACCTCTTTATTAACTCCGTGTACTTGAGTCTCATTATCTATGTTTCAGTAGTTTGTTACATTGTACTTTAAGATCCACAAAGCTGTAGTTAAGGTTCAGTGGCATTTTTTATCTGCTGCGTTTTTCCCCTCTCCCAGAGGTTTAAAAATACATTGGTTTTATGTACTGTAGTTGGAAGTGGAGTATATTGTATTTAATTTCTTTTTTAAACAGGCACATTAATTATCTCTAAAACATTTAAGGAGGATTACAGATACAATCCTTTTTATGTCTTCTTTCAAAAACTAACCATTGTCTTTACCATATCTGGCACATTTGACTATGAATATATATGTATATTTTTAACCTTAAAAACAGTGTAGCTTTAGCTCTCTGTCATATTGTTGTTTGTGCCACAGGCAATAATATGGCTTGTCACTTAGCTATCCCATCCAAACGCTAATGTAATCTTCTTTCTTTTATATGTTTTAAAAATTGGATCAAAAACTGGACCATATGTACACTTAAATTTGGTAGCCAGGCTATGTTGGATGCCTAGTTTCTATATGGTGTAAACTGAATATCTCTGTAGCTCATCCTGAAAGTGGGGAAATTGGTTGAAGGACACTATGTTGAGCTCATTGAGATCAAAACATGCCAAACGATGTTTTTGTGTGAGTGCTCTTGTTTTTTGGTTGAGCAGTTTTTAGGCAGGAAGTAGTAAGCTTACGTGTTGAAAGTGGTGAGAGCTGATGGAGAAGCCGACTGCACAGCCCCAAATGCTAAGCTTTTTAGCAGAACACTGGCTCTGAGACTGGCAATTGCTTAGTGCATGACTGTGCTTTGATACAGGCACTCTAATAACCTAAACTAATTCATGTGAAGCAGAGCAGAAAACAATATTGAAATAAAATACTTTCTGTATTTAAACAGTTAAGAAGTTGGCTATTTTCTCTGTACTCAGAAGAGGAAGCATTTAGGTTTACAGTAGGGGTAACAGTTAAATGGTCAACTTTCAATATGTAAGAGTTTGGGCTTTCATTAGCAGAAAAAGACCAAGTATTATTGAAAAAGAGGGAGAGGGACCTCCCCCCCAATTTAAATGTCATAGATGATAACAATGTAATGACTTATTAGATTATAGAATTTTAATATCCTGTTTTATTTACAGTGGTAGCAACTTGAGGTCTAATTTACTTTTGATATATGGCAAAATTTTACTGTAGCATATTTGGTGTTAACTTTTTGTTTGGTTTACTGGGTAGGGTTTTCATCCCTATTTCAGGTGGTTTTAATTTCATCCTGGTCTGTAGAACAGAATTTAGAATATCTGTCTAGGTTGCCCTGCCAGTTGACAGTTCTCACAGGTTGCTCCTCTGCAGTGTTTGGCCAGACCAAATTAGTGCAAATGCTACTCTAGATGCTTTTCTAACCCTTCAGGAGCCTTCAGATTATTCAGAAGGTTATTTTTTAGTTCCTTTACTGCAGCACTTCTTTGATAAGTTATATTCCATCTTGTGTTTATAAACAGCTCAGATATTGGCATCCATGGAATGAATTTTTACTTGAGAGGAATATAAAGGGAATTTTCCAAAACTAATTTAAATAGTGTTAAGATTTTTATGTGGTCTTCAACTTAATACATTTTCAGGGTTCTTCTCTTTTCCCTTGCATTTCCAGTCATACAGAATCTTTGATACTTGTGGGTATTGAATTTTCCACCTTTAAGTGATTTCATGCTGTTCATTTCTCCTGCTTAGGTCAACTTCTCCGGGAGACTCTTGTTTGTGATTGTGTTGAACTGCTGCTGTTCTTGCAGAGGTGTACACATTCACCAGTTTATCAAGCTATTGTAGAAATTTGAGGAAAAAAAACCTGCACGTCAAACTGAACAGTGAATGTAATTTATGCTACCTTTTTGTTTCATAAATTCTGTCCAGTGGAGACATCAGAAAATAGCCCTTGTTGGGTATAAGACCATCCCAGGGAAGCTAGATAGCAAGCTATCACCGAGTGTAGTATAGGTCAGGTTTAGCCTTTTTACAGATATGAACAGCTGAAGGATTTAATTTTCCATGATGTCCAAATGTTTCTGATACTGCATCTTAAGATTTCTTGGATTTTTCTTCTTTTTGGTTTTTTTGGTGCTTTTGTTCTGGTTTCCATGATTAGCAGAGGTTGATTTAGCATAAAATGGTGTTATAGAAGTCTTTAATTAGGAGACAATTTACTCTCGATGCTTACTCTTACATGACCACATTGTCAATCAACCTTCTAATTGGTAATTCCAGTTCATATAAATAAAGCTACAATCAGTATTGTCAAAGGGGTGGTTAAAACAGCAGATGAATGCATATGCAACCAGTTGATATGAAAAGCTTCAGTTTAATTTCTTAAGAAATGAGCTACTTGAATAAAGCTCCTTTACCTGCCTGCTAGTGATTACCTATTAAGTAGTCTGGGTAGAAGTATCAATTTTGAAACTCTTGATTTTGGATAGGACTATGGTGTGTGCTTACATGTGAATGTCTCATAAATATTTCCCAAGAGCAATTTATTTTTCTAATTAGCTTGAACAGCCTATGCTTTACGTAGCGCTTTAAGCAGTTTTCAGTAAATCAATTCAATCACACAGCTGTTGTTTAAAACTTTTCCTAAGTAACTGTAATTCTCTATAGAGACCCAGAATCTCACTAATTAGTACACTTAATCATACCTTGTATAAAATGCATGATAATATGGATTAATCATTCCTAGAATTTCATAGAAAAACAGAGTAACAGAAACCTGAGTGTTCATAGCTCTGAAAACAGTTTGCTATTCTCATATAATAGTTATGTACCAAGCAGTGTGTACAGGCTGACATAGAGTGGTTACGCACTTAATTTTTACTTGCCAGTCATAACTTTACAAAATAATTAATTTGCGGCTGCAGCTTTTTATATTAAGATTTAAAAGTTACTAAGATCAGAAGTTACTAAGAACAGTTTCATTTTCTTCCAAAGTAAAAAAAAATTACATTTAAAATAAATATTTTCAATTCTTATGTGAAAGGAAATCTAGCTTACCAGGTGGCATTGGTGATGTTAAGATTCAGACTTTTGAGCTGTTTAGCATATAGCAGAGATAACAGTTAGATACAGTTATTATAAGTGAGTTGTAAACTCATTTAACATTAAAATGTCTCGATATTGAGTGTTTAATTTTTGGTAAGATTATTAATATTAGGTGAAAAAATTGAAAAGCAAGCACTTGTTTTTTTTAAAGTACAGCCTTTTTTGTTTTTCAGGATGTGACTTAAAATGAATTCTGATTCTGAAGGTCCTCTGAAAAATATGCTGTGCTTGAATGTTTGCTAAGGACAAGTAAGTGATTGATTTCATATTTGGAGTATACGTACCTGAATGGTTATTCCCTTACCATTTTTAAAGCTACAATTTACAAATTGTACATGTAAGTCAATAAGAAGCATGTTCTTAAAAAGAAGAAAAGGGGGGGAGGGAAGAAAGAAGAAGGAAAAAAAAAAAAAAGGGAAAAAACCCTTACTTCACTACTGCCAGAAAGTGAGTTTTCTAAGTTTGTTTTCTACTGAATTCCCATCTGGGTAAATGGGAACATCAGTTGTTTCTGTGGTCAGTTTTATAACAAAAGAGTCTTTGCATAGTTTCAAGAATATTTTGAATCCAGAAGTTTCACTGGAAAGCTGTCATACTTTTTATATATGTGTATTTGAGGGAAATATAAATTTGAAATAACAAATTTTCTGTAAGAATAT